TCCCTTGACGGCCACGTATGCATAGCGTGAATATATCAACATTTTCTAAGGTATAAACTGCTGCCGAAAAAAAAAGTGCAAAACCTGGTTAATGGACTACCTGTTAGTAAAACAAACAAAAAAAGTAGATCTCCTAAAATATTTTGTATTGACCTCCTTAAATACATTTACTTTTAAAATGAAGTGAAAACTGTTTAAACCCTATTTTTTACATTGTATTACCATCAAATATCTAATTACATTTTAAGAAATGTCTTTTTGATTTTCTCCACCAAAAGATTATTAATAAATAGCTCAATGTACTCTTTTAATAAAAATACTCTATAATACTACTTTTAAAGATGGTGAAAATACTCATCATACGCCGTAAAATCTGAATTTCAGCAGACTTGTTTCTAATAACTCAAATGATGTTCTTTAAAGCTGCTTACTATTTAGATCAATTATGCAGCGCAACAATCTTTCTTTGTACTCTGGATGATTATTATTTCGCTTATACCTCGACAAATGTTGATAAAAATCTTGATGAGAAGTTTCGACAGTTTGTTCACTATAAGGCCCCAAGGGAGATCCTTTGTGACAGATGAAATCCTTGATGTGGTAGAAGACGGCGTGAGTTTTGGGTGTTACGCTTGCACCAGTTATTATAGGTAACACTTTTTGAAATTTTCAACTATTTTAGCGAAATCCGGCTAAAAGACGTATCCAAAGCAAGTCTTGACAACTAAATTGAAGCTTTTGTATGCTTCAATTATGCACACAATATTTGGAACCATGTTTGTGTCAGTAAGTTGCTGCAGCATATCTACATTTTTAAGAAGCTTCCTGCATTCATTTCCCTCAAACTGGCCCCCGTGATACGGACTCAGTTAAATGTAGAGGGCGGCTGGCCACTTAACAGCTTCTATCCAAGCAGTTTTAAGGATCTTGAAAAGATGGTTAAAAACTTCTAAGAGGAGATGCACTTCCATCGGTGGAATGATTTCTAAAATTAGAACATTGACAGGCCCGCAGATGATGGCTTTCGAATGACATAGCCAAACAGCTTTGCATTAGCAACAACCCCGCCAGATTGCTGAAAAGACTCAAGGCTTGAATTAATTGAGCCCAGTATTTGCAAGTTTCCAGATTTGGCAAGGCAATTAGTTTTAACGTCACAACAGATGCAAGGGTGCGTATTTGAATGACTTTGAAGACCACAAGTTATATTTTCAACTTTCATACCACAAGCCAAAATTAGTTTAACTCCATTTGCATTAATTGGTGACCAGATTTGTTCAATACTGGTGTGTGTTTCTGGCAAATCTTCTGAAACCCCAACAATAATAACTCTCTTGACTCCAGTGTCTTACCAGTCCTTTGAGTAAGAAGTTGTTATTGGTGCAGTGAGCTGGTTTCATCCCTTAACACAGAATCAACAATGCTTAGGCAAAACTTGAGAAAACCTTTGACGCCATCGATTCTGAGCTTAACAAAATAGTCATCAGAAATTTTGAGGGACTGAATAACATGATTCACAAGATTTGATAAATTATTGCAGTGAGCAACAACATGAGCTGTACAAGAATCTGTTTTTTGTCAGTGATTTTTAAGTTGCTGCAGGTGAAGAAATTGCTCAATTGTTGACCTAGTCTTAGAAAATTCATGTAGAAATTTTGCTCTACCATCTTGCTGCTTGATGTTTTGTTTATAGTTCTAACAAGTTTCTTTAATCCGTTGTTTGACAGCTCCGTATTTAATTGCACATTTACAAGTGCTACAGTTGTCAATTTCGGAGCACTTAATGGTGTCTGCGCACTACTTTGCCCAACTTTTTATAGTTACAATAATCTTTGTTTATTAAGTGTTAAAATTTCAAGTTATTTGTTTTTAAAGAAATTAGAAACTTGTCAAAAATATACTTCTTGAAATCTATCTAGTGTTACTTCTTACCAGGGGTAACTGTAAGTGGAGGCCCGCCTGATGCTTTAGCCAGTAGAATAGTTCCTTCCGGAGATAATTCTTTATTGGAAATAACTCGAGTTGCAATTTGTTTGGATGATTTAGCATCTTTTGCTGCTAAAGATTGAAAGTTTTCCCTTAACATTATTTGAGAGCATTGGTGGGGCAAACCTTTTCCTAAAGGGCTGAGGCATTTGCTGCAACGCACCTTTGGTTTTTTCTCAATAGTGGTTTGCTCTATAAGAGTATGTTTTTCTTGCAGCTTTGAACGACCTATTCGACATATTAGGCAACAACACATCGTGCCTCTTGTTTCAGGTCTCACTTGTATTGACTTAAAATCAAACAAAGGTGGAAGTGCAACTTCTTTCCCCTCTTGTTTCCTGCGCAAAGTAATTCTACACGATTTGCAAAATCCTTTTGATACCCGAGTATAACTGATATTGATCTTGGTCTTGTACATTTAGCATATTCGATCTGCTTGAAAAGTAGTAAGCTGTCTTAAATATTTTTTCAGACAGAGCAAGCACACAAACTTTCAGTTTTCATCATGATTCTTTGCTTGATTTGGCATCGTGGCAATACACTAAATTTGACTTCACTAAATCAAACTCTGCTTTTTACAAAATTTGACCTAAATTTATATTTGATAATAATCCACTTAACATTGTAACACATATTATTAATTAAAAACTATTAAAATAAAGGAAATATGATTAAATTGAGGCAATATTAAATTACAAAGAAATAATTCTTGAATAGTTCTTTCCTTACCAGGAAACAATTGTTTAAACTATTTACTCGTAAGAAAATTACATTATTGATAATTGCCACACTTAATAAACTAATGATACTTGTCACACGGGTAGTTTTATTTCAAAACAACCCTTCAACTTAATTAGTTATTCAGTTATAGTAATTTTCCTCCGACTGGCCCTCCAAACTTTGTATTGGTCAGATATCTTAGTTAACTTATCTAAATTTTTTGAGTCAATTTTCTTTGTCAATATAAAAAATATCGGGTTTTTTCACAGTTGTTCTGTTTTTAAATAAATAAATAATTTTGTTTTCTATGTAGGTATCCCTAGAAACCCTTCTTAACCATTTTTTTAAAATTTTTTAGCATTCTGGCAGTAATTTATACCTTAGAAAATGTTGATATATCCATGCTATGCATACGTGGCCGTCAAGGTAGTCATGGCCTTCCCGCTTTTTTTTTGCGAGGACCTTTTTTTTTAGAAATACAAGCAATTATTTCAGAAATTATGGATTTTATTTTAGAAATTGAGGGGTTGACCCTCTCCACTTTGAAGGCTGTGTCAACGCCATTGGCATAAGCCAATTCAAATCACGCTTTAAGTAACAAATCACTATTTTGGTTTAAAAAATGAAAATTGTGCATGTACCGATAAAATAGTTATAACAAAAATTGTTGGTATTACATAGTAAAACACTCATGTAACCATTATTTTAAAAATAGTGACCGAATTTCAAAGTAATTGGTAACGCTTTGAGGAATAAGTAGCAAAAAACTGACAAAACTTCAACTAAAACTGAAATAAATCCTACACCAGTCATTCAATCAGGCTGAAATTTTGTTCAGAGTTAGGTGTGACTATTGGCTACATTGGCATCAATTTTTATCAAATTATATTGAGTGGTTCAAATTCTATAAGTGTTTTTATTGGCGCACTATGAAGTCAAAATTTGACTTAATTTGAACATTTAAATTCAATTATTTTGCGCGGACAAAATTAAATGATTTCAAAATTTGCATCACAGGGTACCTTGATGTGTACGCTAAACTCTCCGTATAAGTGGCTTTTTTAGGACAGCTAGGTAGGCATTATAAGGATCCGTGCTAACCGTGCGTGTATTTGGTTTTGAATTAAATAGTTCGGTATTTTTATGTACGAAGGGTGCAACTTGCCATCAGACATAAATTGTCAAGATATGGCTCCAAAAAAATGTAATGAATATTCTTGTCCCGCTGCAAACTCCCTATGTTTGGTCCATGCATGGTCCATCATTAGTTTCCTTGACCGGCCCGCATATTTCGAAACCCTTTACAGGCTCAGAATAGGCAGAAATATGACCAATCTGATTCGCTGATTTTGAAAGAGTGGCTAGTGTGCATTTGTTGAAAAATATAATTAAAATTAAAACAAGCACATTTTGAAATAAATTTCCGAGCAATGATAAACTAAATTTATTAATAAAAGTCTTGTTTTATTATTAACAAAGAAAGTTTATTTTAATTTAGTACTCTTCAGAGCATTTATAAGGTATCAAAATCTAATGTAAGAGAAATTTTATCTCAATCTCAAAATTTATTTAAGTTTATCTCGGTGATGGGGGGTTTATCTGTTGGTAATTTAAAGAAATGGAAAAATTTTTTTGTGTTAAAGTAAGTTCGAAAAAAAAAATTTTTTTAATAATGACCAATACGCAAACAAATCTGAGAATTTAACTTTAGGGTAAGACCGGAAAATAAAATCTCGGAAGATTTAGATGAAATAAGTTTTAGTTTACCTACTTAAAAAAGAGATACACATAATAATCGGTTTAGCAATACGCTTTAAATTATAAAATAATTTGTATTTCAATAAAAGTATATTAAAAACAGTATATTACATATAATACATATTGTTCATTTGCAACATAATAAGTTTAAGATTAGCAAAAGGTTAAATCATCAAGTTCAACAAGTTCGACAATCATTTTGATTTGTGCTAAGACTTGATATTTTTTGATCTCAAAATCTTTTTTCAAACTGTGTTTGCTAAATTTTAAAATTAGACGTTTGAATTGCTTATTACTTCTTTTTGATAAAGAATGGATTTTAAAGTACTACAATTACCTATTATAATGTATAATCAAATTTAGATTGTTGCCACTAATTAACACAAGCATGCTGCATTTAATGCTAGTAAAAATGGTTCAACAAACTTAAAACTTTTTTCAACTTAAAAACAATGTAGTTATTGATATGTTATGATAATTAAGAAGCAAGTTTTGTTTTTGTTTTTGTTGCACTTTAGCTTAGTTTTATAATTTAGTTTTGGACGGTGGTTCGGCTTCGGATTCAAGATGGAAATTGCTACAAAAAGAAGCATGTTATAAAGGCAAGAATGATTTTCCTGCAAAAGTTGAAATAAACCAATACGGTGCTTTGGTTGCCGTAAAGCTGGTATATATAAGTGGTCGAATGAAATGCGCTAATTCGTTTATTGGAAGCTACTTTGGTTGTTTCTCTGATCAAACACTGTTTAACCTTGCAATCACTGATGAAAATAAAATTGTTCTCTTCCCCCCTCCCAACCACGCTATTACCTACATAGATTCCTCAAAAAACTACAGGTACCCAGGTTATTTACCAACTGATAAAGAGGTTGTTTTTACTAACTATGCCTACCCAACATATTTTAAATCAGGAGACTACATTTCCATTTGGAATTATGAAGATCTTCTTGACTATGGGGATACTGATAACTTTGGAGAAGTTTGTATGGATGTTTATGGTGCATTTGTTTAGTTCGAAAGAGTTTTGATTTTACTTAAACAACGATAAGTAGTTTTTAGCCTTTCCTAAAATTAATGACCCATGTAGTTAAAAATAAAATTATACATTTTTTGATCTTGTTGAGTTTTTTTTTAATTTATTTTAATTTATTTTAATGTATTTTTAATTTAATTTAATGTATTTTTGGCTAAGTGATTGTGTAAAGACTAATTTAACAATAAAGCTTTCCGTTAATCTTTTTTTTTTTGTTCATGTCTAAACAGATTTTTTTTTTTTTTAATCATAAAAACTCCAGATAGAAATAATAAAGGTATTAGCAAACTTCTCTGTATAATATGTTATGTAAAGTAGGCAGGCCCGCGCAGACTTTGTGGTGCCCATGGTCAATATTTATTCGGTGCCCCAAACTTTGGATTTTTGGGTATATTTAATTAAGCATGAATTTCACTTTTTATTTACCGTATGTTTACTATCACATTTCAATTTACTGAAAACAATAATTTTTTTTTGTATTAACTACCGCTGCACATAAACACTCTATATTTGAACTTGGTTATATATGATAAAACGAAAATACAAATGTAATTTAAAATAAATGGAATTAATTGTTTCATCAATAAAAAAATTAATTACGAAGACTAGTCCGATCACACTAATTTCACTTTGCGGGCTTTCTTCTTTGAAAAACTGGAGATGGCATTTTCGTACAATAAAGTCGTGGCAAGATCGCTTTCAATTGAAATCACCATAAGGTTAGTAAGGCATTCTTCAGTCATGGTTGATTGCAATTTGGATTTTATGAAAGCAAGCTTATTAAAAGAGCGCTCTCCTTCAGCGACTGAAAACGGGATTGTATTAAAAATGCAAAGCAAAATACAGATTAAAAGAAATATTGACTGAAAACCTTTCTGGTTCCTGTTAACCGACTGTATAAAAGAAAGAGATTCTAAATTTCTATTTGTCTAAAAGTATTTGATTGCTTCAGAACATCTAGATGATGGATTTCTTTGTAAAAGAAACCCATCATCATCATCATCATCATCATCATCATCATCATCATCATCATCTAGATGTTACAAAATGATGTAAACGAAGAGGAGTTGATACTCCTCTTCGTTTACACCATTTACGTCGAGATTTGGCAGGACTTTGCATTTTTCTTTCTGACTGAGTTTTTATTTATCACTAGTAGGAGATGATGAACACCATATGAAAAAAATATATATCCGTCGTCTATTGAGCTGCATCCGTTCTGCATCTTATCTGTTGGAGCAGCGTGTCAAGAGCAGCATTAAATAGTCGATCAGTCGATCTTTTTGATAATAGCAGCGAAAACAGTTTCACTTCATGGCACAACAAACTTATTTTGAGTTCTCCAGCTCAAATAGTGCGCTTGCATTCTTGTTCCTTGTTTTTGGTGTCGAGAAACTTCTTCTAAATGGAACTGAAGTGTCTTATTGTGTTTCCCCAACAGCTCAAGGGTGGCAAAAAAATTACCATTATCATACTCGTCCATGTTTGATTAATCTATATAAATATGAACATAATATTAAAATAAACATTACATCTAGATTACACTTAGATGCCTTATTTCTTATTAACTTCTCAAGTTCTGAATTGATCCGGGTCTGATTTTTCAAAGCTTCAAAGACTGATTTCCAGACAATCTTGTGATTTCTGTGTTGAACACTACACTGATGACTTTTAACCTTTTCTCCTAACTTTCGCTATTTATCTTTTATTCCGCCATTTCGCATCAAGAGGAATGACTGAAATCCAAGGCTAGAATTATATTTTTTGGTCCTAAAATAGAACAGAGAAAATAAAGGAAAGCTTTTTGCAGTTCCACTCCAGATTAGTTAATTTTCTCTCCGTTGAGAGAAGTTTCATATAAAACGGAGGCAGGATCTTTTTTGTTTATAGAGACTCTGGAAAAAAGTGCCGGATTTTTAAGTGGTCCATTGAGTATGACTAGAATGTGTTCGAATTTAGATAAAACCCTCTTCCACAAAGTTTCTAACTGCTTGATCACTCAGTTAAATTGCCTCTTGATCCTAAATTCAAAATAGCATTTGAGATTTTTGGCATTTTTTTAATATCTGCAGATATTAAATTATATGTGTTTAATATCTATATAACAATTTTTTTTTTCTGCCTTGGGACCTTGAATCATGCTTTCGAAAACTGTACATGACGTTTTTACTCAAAGATGTGTGTTACTTATTTTTAAATAAAATAAAAAAGTTTTTCATTTGTTTCAAAATTGAAATGAATTTTTTATATAGAACTTAATTCTTAAAGTAATTAAAGAGAAAAAGAATTAAATGCAATTTCACAATATCAAAATAATTGAAATGAATGCATTGAGAAAGAATATTTGAAAAGTGTTGGAATGAGAGTAAAGTGATTTATGTAACATAACATTGATAATGTTTTAAAACCTTTTTTTCGGATAAGTGTTAAGTAATTCGAATTTTTACTACATTTAAACTGGAGCTCCTTCCACGCTGTCCTCCATTTTTCTATTTTGAATTAAATATAGAATAATAAATATTTGAAGTCCGTTGTAATAAATTTCTAATTGTAGTTGTAACGAGAGTATTCTAATTGTAACAAGAGTATTTTAGATTCTATTTTAAATTTCTCTAAGGAGTAATGCTCTTTATGATTATTAAAATTTTCAATATAATCTTTGCCTCATCCTCTGGACGGCCTTAAAATAGGGAGACTACGACCTTGTAGGCAAAAGCTTTCCAATTTGCAAAATTCTTGTTATTCGATCAATATTTCATTTAAGAATAAAATTATTGCCAATCTCTTTTTTCCCTTTATCAGTAATAGCCTGGTCCATATTGGAATCTTATTCAGAATTTATCATACTTCATGTTTAGTATTCATAGTATGGTATATCATTAAATAGACAAGTTTATCAATTAATTCTTCCATTTTTGTTAGGAGCTTTCATTTATTTTACAAATTTTTTTATTAAAAAGCCTAATTTTAGTCTTATTTTATTATAAGGTCTTATAATATTACTTTTTCTTAATCATTATTATTAGCAGTAATTATTATTATTAGCAGTAATTATTATTATTAGCAGTAATTATTATTATTAGCAGTAATTATTATTACTAGCAGTAATTATTATTATTAGCAGTAATTACTATTACTAGCAGTAATTATTATTACTAGCAGTAATTATTATTATTAGCAGTAATTATTATTGGGAAAAAAAGATCATGTACAGTAAGGTGAAAAATAAAAAAATTTCTGATGCCTTAAAAGATTAAGTTTTACAAGCAATTTTTGATAAAATTAAAGTATCATCCTTTACATGTCTTTTCATTAGTTTTGTGCGGTGGACCTAGCTCCGTCCCGGTTTTCCGGCAGTTTTCCTAGATCCCAGCCGGAAACAAACCAGATATGTGGCTTTTTTTCTAGTTTATTTTTACAAAAGTATTGTTTTAAATGTTTTAAAAGTTAAAACTAAGTAATATTATTTAATTAATTAAAACAATTTTATTACAATTAGCGAAAATGTTTTTTTTGCTTGCAAAATGTTCAATAACTGCAAATTTTAGGTAGCAGCTCTCTATCTAGTGCCATTTATTTCCATGCAACACCATGCCTCGAGATGTTCGATTGTCTCAAACCGATTTATGATATATTCTAAAAGAAAATAATGAATATTAAGCTTGAGATAATGGTATGCACTGTCATGCTTATAACTCAGTGTCATGCTTATAACTCAGTGTCATGCTTATAACTCGGTGTCATGCTTATAACTCAGTGTCATGCTTATAACTCAGTGTCATTCTTATAACTCAGTGTCATGCTTATAACTCATTGTCATGCTTATAACTCAGTGTCATGCTTATAACTCAGTGTCATGCTTATAACTCAGTGTCATGCTTATAACTCAGTGTCATGCTTATAACTCATTGTCATGCTTATAACTCAGTGTCATGCTTATAACTCAGTGTCATGCTTATAACTCAGTGTCATGCTTATAACTCAGTGTCATGCTTATAACTCAGTGTCATGCTTATAACTCAGAGCTTTATCTGAAAAGCTTTACATGTACTTCTTTTCCCTGGTAATATGTCATTGGAAACTATGCTCAGATTTTCAGAAACATTGATTTAATACGGAAATTTTTTTTTATTTTATTTTTTGAACATTATTTTTTGCCGTTCAAGAAATGTTACAATCTACATAAATTTACAAATAAAATTAATGGTTAGAGCAAGAAAAAGACATTTTTGTCTTATAGCCGAGCACCGTGTTACAATATATATTTTTACAAAATTTTTTCCAAGAGTATAAAGTATAAACTAAGAAATAAGATAAGTATTAACAAAAAAATTATTATTAAAATAGGATCATCTAGTTATTAGGTAACACCATAAATAAATTAGATTAAACAAAAACTAAATAAACAAAAAAAAAAGAAAGAAAAAGAAAGAACTATAAAGTCAAAAAAAATGCTATTAATAATAATGATTACTGTCACCAATTATTTAATTTAGTTTTTGAACTTACAGGGTCACTGAATTTAACATTAACTTAAATTAATTAGTTGATTTAGTGTTTTTGATGACTTTTTTTTTATTGATCAATTTTAAAAGAAACATTTAAAATAAGATAAATTCCTACTGTTTCTTAATAATATGAGGTTATCAATTAGGTTTCTTTAATTATCAACTTCAAAATCTAAAGTTCCAACTCTAGCTTGCAGAATTGTGTTTCTGTCATAAGTATATGTTACAACTGTAAACCAGGTGCTGCAAAAATAATGCACTCAAGTAAACTATTTTGTATATAAAGTATTACATAAATGTCTTTGACTTCTGATTAAGTCTCGGCAGTTAGACAGCTTCTTTAAGTTTTGAAAAGCAATCTTTAAACGGGAAAGATGCTATATGTTTAGATGTATAAGATTTGACACTTTTGATTCGAGCTGAACAACGTGTATCTGACAAAATATCCAAAGAATATCCAATGTTTTTTTTTAAATTTGCTAACTTTGCGGGCTAGAGCTGAACATCTTATGAGTCATCTTCACAATACCAAAAATGTTTATTGTCTATATACAACACTCTGCAGCATGGAGACCGTACAAATTTAAGATAGTAAAACAAAATAATAAAATAAAATCTTTTTTTTATTTTAAATCCATATTACAGGTATTTAATATTTTATTTATAGAAAGATAATCATATTTTTTTTGTAAA